AAGAACCTGAGCAAGTAGCTTCATTTGAGGGCTTTCTATATGCCAGAAACTGCCCATGCAGTCTCTCATTGACTGAATCACCAAGCGGTAGAGGGTAGTACAGAGGTCAGTGCAGCTTAATGTGCTGTGGCATTATGTACCTGGGTCTCAAGAGCGGGGAGCCAGAGGAAGCCCAGGTCTGACTACAGCCTGTTCGCAGAACAGCTGCGCTTCCTCAGGTTTCCTGGTGGGCAGTACTGCCGCAGAGGGAAGGTACCCTGCCGGCCAGGGAGTTCCAAGTTCTTGATGTCTGTTAAGTATTTCGTGTTATTGTAAATTGTCCTCTTAGTCTATACTCTGCTGATCCTTTCAGGATTCATTCTAAGTTCTTGGTCATTCGAAGATGGGGCCATAGACTTGTCTGGAATAATATTTAGCCTAACACTTTTCTTGTAGATGGCTCTGGAGTTGCACAGACCTGGGTTGAAATTCCAGCTCCTACACTTGCTTACTTGTGTCTCTTAACAAGTTACCTAGCCTCTCCAAGCTTTAGTTTCCTCATCTGTAAACTGAGGATAATAGTGGGGTTTTGAAATCTCTAGATGTCTTGTTTGGTTTTTTTGTGCAAGAAAGCAAATGGGAAAGATTCCAGTTCTACATGACAAGTAATGTGACCAGGCTCTGACACTCTCTGCCCCCGCACCCTCCACCAAAGACATGCCAGCGATCTCTGCTTTTCAAACACATGGGTCCTCAAGTCCTTTGGTGCAAACCGGCAAAGGAAAATTAGAGGGACTGAGGGGTCCAGCAAGGATCTGAGAGGGTTTGTTGCCTGAGATGAAGACATAAGGTTTGGCCCAGGTGTGGGTGCTCTGGATGTGGCTGGAGAAGCTCAGGTGTGGTGTGGGGTTCAGGAAGCTTCTAACTAGCTGGGTGTTTTCCTCTGTAGTAACTATCTTGGGACTGATTTGCAGATGGGTGTTGGTCCTGGAATAGACTCTAAAAAATCACTGTTTGCCCAGCTCTGTAGCCTTAGAGAGTGGGCAGGCCCTGTGTGCAGCTCAAGCTGAGAGAAGATAATGCCCAGGTGACCAGGCACTTACTGGACATGGGCTGCCATCCTCTGGAGGTGTCTCCTTATGTCTCTGGAAGCATATGGAATGGCCAATGTCTGTGCCATCCTTCAAGTTCAGGTGCACATCTGGGGCTCAGCAGTCTGCAGCATGAACACCTCCACCTTGCAGATGTGTCCACCCTGGAACATGGGGCTTAGTTGTGTGAATAAGACTAGTTCATTGCCCAACTCAGTGAAGAGTCTGTGTCTTCAGGGATGTGAAAAGCCCCAGGGCTCCTTCAGCGATGCAGGGCTTGGGTTCATGAAGGCAGGAGGTGGGGAGGGGTCTTAAAAGAAAGCCTTCCTGATGAAAGCCACTGGGAGGAGGACTGGCCCTCTCCAGAAGAGGTCTTCTCTCAAGAAGAGTCCTGCTTTAATAAGAAAGGAGGGCACATTGGGCACCGGGGGAGCAGGGAAGGAAAATCTGCTCCAGGCCACTGAAGTCCTGAGGGGATCAGGGACCAGCTTATAAGTCCAACACTGGAAAGGTCCAGCCTTAAAACTGAACAATAATCCCAGCTACTTGGGAAGCCAAGGCAGGAGGATTGCAAGTTCAAGGCCAACCTGGGCAACTTAGCAAGACCCCACCTAAAAATAAAAAGGACAGGAGGTGCAGCTCACTGGTGGAGCGCCCCGAGTTCCATCTCCAGTACCGCAAAACAGCAAAAAACCAATGAAGGAATAGCAAATTAGCTACCAAATAACAAAGGTGTTATACAATGGTTTTATTAAGTGATGAATCAAAATTCAGTTTGGCAGGCTGTGGTGCGCTGGGCCCTGGTCCAGGTTTCCGACTCCTGCAGTCCTAAGGCGGCTGCTGGGCTGCTGGCTGGGCTGTGTTCCTCGGGTCCCTGTTTCCGTAGCCCCCTGGGTGTGTCCACTGGCCCATCACACCATGTCACCCCAGCTCATCTGCTGTCTTGTTAGCCTGGGTTCTTGCAGACAGGGATTGACTTATGTCCCCAGTGCCTGACACTGCCTGGCTCTGGTGGGCTCCCACCAAGTATTGGAAAGAGGAGTGCGAGATGAGGGAGGCAGGCGGGTCTTGTCCTCTGCTGTCTCTGCGAGTGCTGCTCTCACCCGTGTATCCACAACTCCTTCTCGAAGGTTTTACTGCCACCTCCAGACCGTCTCAAAGCCCGTCTCAAGCTTGTTTCTTTTTCTGTGGACTTGTGTCCCCTCTCCCTCCTCCAACCCCTCTGCTGCCTCTGCGACCCTCATTGCTTCTTGCCTGGCCTGTCCTCACAACCCGCCACTGGGGTTTCCTCTTTCAGTCTGTCGCCCTAAACATTTGCGGGTGTCACGTGGCCGCAGTGCCGTGGGCCTTGGGTGGCATGGCCCTGTGTTGGAGGAGGTGGGGCCAGGTCTCCAACCCACACCAGCCTCTCTTCAGCATCAGTTTCTTTTGTCCTGTTGCTGTCACTCTGAACTTGTTGCACATGCAGGCAGTGTGTGAGGAGGGAGGATTGTATTGACTCCTTGGTTGGCATTCAGGGCCCGATGCCATCTTGCTCATCCATCCATCTTTCCCAGTCACGTCCGTGGCTCTTCCACACATGCTGTACATTCCAGCCAAACTGGTATGCACCCTTCGTTTCCACCTCTTCTCCGTCACCATGGCCTCACTTCTCCTTGCCCGCATGTCTGCATCCTATTTGTGATTTAGCCCAGACGCCCTCTCTTCCAGGAAGCCTTCCCTGCTGGAGTGTCTGGTGTGACTGCCACTCACTGCAAGGAAGAAAATTTGCATGTCCCCCCTCAAAAAAAAAAAAAAAAAAAAGTTTTGCCCAGATTTACTGACTTCTCACAGTACATGTCATTTTACTTCCCTGCCTCTGACATCCGGTCAGATTCTTTATAGCCATCTTTGTGCCTAGTACATGAGATAGACTTAAAAAGGTGCTGGCTGCATGATCCAATGCTTATTTCACTCCAGTGTGTGTCTCCCTTAATCTCCACGCAGCCCTTTAACACGAGGGTTGTTAATATCTACATCTTCCAGAGGGGAAGCCAAGACTAAGGCAGATTAAACACCTTGCCCAGGGTCACACAGCTAGCAAGGCGCAGGTCCGAGTTCTGTGCTCAGGCTTTTGGCCTTTTAACTGTTATGTGACCCAAATGAATGGGATGGATACAGCTCTCAAAGAGGATGTATAAAACTGAAGCTGCCACCAATTCAGAAAGACTTTTTATTTTTTAAATCCCATGCCCAGTGGGTTTAGCTGTGTCCTTTCCCAAGAATAATAGCTCACAGTTGGGGTACCATAAAGGTCAGGCAGGGAGGGGAGGGAGAGGCAGCAAGGGGACTAACTGGTCTTCCCAGGCTTCCTCATGGCAGTGACATCCCAGGACCTGGCATGTCAAGGTCCCTCGTCCAAGTAGTCCCTGGGGACCCTGGAGTGTTGTAGAAAGACAGCAAAATTGTCCCTTTGTCTCTGCATTTTCATGTAGCCCCTGTGTCCTTAAGCCGTAATGAATGTCCTTAGTCCTCTGGGACCAGAGATGAATCCATCCCCATTCAAGAGCATCTGCTGCAGTGGATGGGGTGAGACTTACAGATAACTGTAACCTTCAGAAAAAATGGTTAATGTGATTCCAAAAGACACGGTATTTTACTGTTGAAGTGGGAGAAGCCCTGACAGCTCCTGATTGCAAAAGAATCCTGAACCTTGGCTTCTGACTTGGTTTGTAGGAGCTTGTTTCTAAGCTGTTTTGACACCCAACTACCTGGCCAGAAGTTAGCTGAGGGCTGTGGTTTTTCCCCATAAAGGGGTGATTAAAGGCTTTGAGGCCTCAGCAGCCTGTCTTTAAATTAATAAGCAGAGATAGGAACCAGCGGCTCCCTCCCTGCTGGAACTGTCTGGCCAGCTGCAGCTCTGGACTGGAAAGGGAATAGCTGAGCAGGTCCTGAGGGGTCCTTTGTACCTTGCACTTTATGCAGAGTCATTTAATTTTGCTGCAGACCTGTTCTTTGGCGAAGGAATCAACCATTCAAAACAACTATAATTTGCCCAAGGATTGCATGGCTGAGAGTCAGCTCTTAACTGCAGTGTGATACTGGGTGTGGAAAATCAATTAGCAGGCACAAGTGGAGCCAGGCTACTGGGGGACAGAAAAGAACTGGTGTGAGTGTAAGGGCAGAATCATTAGGAAATTTCTGTGTTCTTGTTGTGGCCATCTTTTAGTGAGGAGAGGCTGTTTGGTTAGAAAGGTCTGGTTGGTGGACAGAGCCAAGCTTAAGATGGGTGTTCAGCGATAGGGAAGCAGAAGATGGGAGAATCTGTGGGTCTCCTTTGATCATTTCAAGCCATGTGTCGCTGGTGGATGGGTTGGCCTTTCTAAATCAGAGTAACAAGTAAAAACAGAAAGCATGACTCAAAATCAGACAAAAATCCAAATCACAGAGTTGGAGGATGCTCTACCCAGAGGAGACCTCAGAGAGAATATAAGGTTTGTTTGCTTTACAGACACAGAAAGCTGCAGCCTGGCGGGGAAAGCATCATGTCTGTTGACAGTGTGGTAGCCCAGAACCTGGACAGCTTGCTCGTCCAGATGGAGCCTGGAAGACGAGGTTTAGTGAAGGAGCAAGAGTTGAACGGAGCAGGCTCACAGGAAGGCGAGGCGGCAGCTTAGTCCACATTACTAGGAAATTTGCCAGTGAGGAGGAGGGTGACTGGAAGGCAGCAGGGCCAGGTCAAGGTTTGCAGGCTACGGGGGGCCTGGGTAACCTTAGAGAAGGAAAATAGTCCAGGGTGGGGGAAGCCATGCTGTGGAAGGAGGAGGGCAGGAAGGCATTGTGGGGTGGGCATCCTTTTGCAGCTCTGAGATGGCTCCAGGGTTCAGGCAGCATGCTGTAAGGTGGTGTCCGGGTGAGCTGACGGCTTCTCTTCCCTCTGCCTCCCTGTAGGTGATTGCCGTGGTAATGGATGTTTTCACAGACATTGACATCTTCCGAGACCTTCAGGAAATATGCAGGGAGCGGGGAGTGGCTGTGTACATCCTTCTGGACCAGTCTCTCCTTTCCCACTTTTTGGACATGTGCATGGATCTGAAAGTTCATCCCGAACAGGAAAAGGTTTGTAGTCTGCTATTTCCAGTTTCGCCACAATCAATAAACATGATCGACAAAGTGGTTGTTGGTGGTGTCCCCATTTTCAAGTGAGGGAACTGAGGCTGTAGGCAAAGTCATTTGCTCAGAATCTCGCAGAAAATGAACAGTGCCTATGACCTCATGATTCCACTCCTAGGTGTTCACCCAAGAGCAATGAAGACAGGGCCACACAGAGACCGGGGTATAAATGTTTACAGAAGTGTTACTCATAAGGGCCTAGGATGGAAACAGTCCAACGTCCCTCAGCTGATAGATGGATAAACATATATTCATACAGTAGACTATTGTTCAGCCTTCAAAGGAAGCAAGTATTGACATATGCTATGACATGGGTGAACCCGAAAATGTAATGCTGACAAAAGACCACATATTCTATGATTCTATTTATGTGAAAGACTGTAATGGAGAAATCTATTCAGACAGAAGACAGATGATCATCAGGACTGAGGAGGCAGGTGGGGGTGGGTAGGTGGTAGCTTAGACTGGCTGACTGCTGCATATCTCCATGAATGCACAGGAAAACCACAGAAGTGTACAGCAAGTGGGTAAGCTGAATGGTATGAGAATTCTATCTCAAGCTGTTGAAAAGCCAAGAAACAGTGGCAGTCTAGCTTCAAACCTTGGCCTCTCCTAACACAGAGCGCAGATCAGCACCACGGTGAGGGCCTGCAGGCACCTTGGATGCTGCTGTTTGTGACAGTAGCCCCAGGAGTCCCCGCTTTTCATCCTGTCACCCACCATTGTTCACTTGGGCTCTGTCCTGGGCACCGCTCAGTGCTCTTGACAAATGTCGCATGACTTGCTCCTCTCAGCAGCCTTGTCAGGTAAGTGGCAGGGTCCTGATGCTCTAGACTGGGAAATGGTGACACAGAGAGCCCGTGTGTCCACAGGTCACAAGTAGTGGCCCTGGGGCCCGACTGTCTGCCTCCTATCCTGTATGCATAATCACTGTCCTGTGCTGCTCATTTCTCATTATTATAAATTAGACCGCATGTCCTTTTCTCAGGTCATGAAAATATTCAAGTATTTAAATGTACGGATGCACGACTTAGCTGGCTTGGTCTCTTTGGTAGAGAAAGGCAAGACAATTAATTATATGTATTTATTTTAGAATTCATTTTCTAAAAATTAAGCAGCCTAGACTTTGACCTTCAGAAATTGATTTATTCACCACTTATTTGAATACCTACAGCTCCATGCCACATGCTTTTGTGAGTACTAGAAATAAAGCATTCAGCAAAGCAAGCAGAATTCGGGCTTTGCTACGCCAGGTTTCCGCATGGGAGACACTAACTGAACACCTTGTTATTATCAAGCAGTTTGGCTTGAAAAATTTTGGCTGTTTAACTTCTCCCATAGAGTTCTTGTTGGCTGTTTCCTCTAATGACAAAGTGGAGGATTGGGCTTAATTAGGTAGTTACTAACCTGTCACTAGTGCCACAGGCAAATAGATGATGGAAGTAGGATTGGGACTTAGAGACCAAATGAAATGGGACAGCCACGTGACTGTCGCCTTAAAAGGGAGATCAGGAGGAAAACACAAGTCAGGCCTGAGAAAAGCAGTCATCTACTGAGCATTTAGTCCTTGACTGGTCATCTAGCACCAGGAGAAGAAATAGAAGGTGTCCGTGTGTAATTTTAAGGCGCTCTTTCTATAATTAAGGCTGTGTGTTAGCAGCAGAAAAATCACAGAATCGCTCTAGCCACAGCTTTAACCCTGCGATCGGCTCCCTTCATCTTCTTGGCAGGAGCCCAGGAAAAAGGTGCTGATGTAGTTGCCCACTATTGATTGCTCCCTCCATGGTCATCCAGATTCTCCAGGAGGGTTGAAGGAGGTCTCTATCTCTGGATGCTCCAGTTTTTGTTCTGTCTCAACTCCTTCCTAGGGAGGTACCATCTCCGCGGCTTGCCCTTCCCACCGGGGTATGTCTGCTAGTGATTCTGTGCCCTTATGAAGTCAGGGCTGACTCCCACCTGCCCTGGGCTCTGTGGCTGGCTTAGAACTTTGGATTGCCCTGTCTGCAGGAACGTGTGTAGGTGTTTAGAAGTGCTTTGGCCACAATCACAGAGGCCTGTACAACATTCAGATGTGTGTCCAAGGGAAAGATAGGTAAAACCACACCTAACTCTGTCAATAGTGGTATTTTTATGCTGTTCTTGTATGTTGATCCTTTATAACACCTTCTGAGTCACTGCCTCCTCCAGGAAGTCCTCCTCCAGCCAATTACACATGTACTTCTGTGAACTTTTCTAATTTTCTAAAACCTAAAAAAACTTTACCTTGAGCTAAGATTTATAAAGAAGTTACAAAAATAATATATGAAATTCCTGAATACTCTGCCCAAATTTTCCAAATGTTGACATCTTATAAACCCCACCACAAATAACAAAATCGGGAAATATCTGCTGACCTCATGAATTTTGCCAGGCGTTCCACTAACGCCCTTGTCCTGGCCCTGGAGCCAGTCCAGCACTCCACCTTGCATTTAGGCCTCAGGTCTCCTTGGCTCCTGTCCTCTGGAGCTGTTCCTCTATTTTTCTTTGTCTTTCAGGGTCTGATGCTTTTGAAGAATATGGACCAGCTGTCTGTAGAATTTGGGTTTGCCTGATGTTTGCTTGTGGCTCAATTCATAACATTTTGATAAGAATGCCACAGCAGTGTTAGTGTATCTAGCCATAGTTTTTTGTTTGTTTTGGCTTTTGTTTTTAACTTCTTTTAAAACAATGATGGATTCATACAGTTATACTGATAACACTGAGAAACTCCAAGTTACCTTCAACTAGTTTCCCCAGTGGTGATTCTTTTGTGATTTATAGTTCAATTTTGGAACCTGGAAATGGACATTGGAGCAGTGTGTACATATGTAGTTCTTTCCCATTTTATCTCATGTGGACATCAAGACAGAACTATTCCATCACTGCAAAGATCTCCCTGATACAGTCACATAGCTCCTCTCCCAGGACCCCACCACTACCACTTTCAACCCACTAATCTGTTCTCCATCTGATCATTTTGCCCTCTAGAGTCTGTTATATAAATAAAATCATGCAGAATGTGACCTATTTAGATTGGCCATTGACACTTGGCAGTATTCACCCATCAAAGGACATTTAGATAATTTCCAGGTTTTGACTTTATAAGTAAATTGCTATAAATATTCATGTAGAGGTTTTGGGTAGCCATAGGTTTTCTTTTCTTTGGTTCATGCAAGTCTTGCCATAGGCTTTTAATCATTCAGTTGGTTTTCTTCCTTATTTTAGTTCTTGAGGGCAAGAAGCATGCCTAGTATCTGTTGTTTCAGGGCTTGGCACATAGTAGGGGTTCTGTCAGTTTGTGGAATGGATGAGAGTCAAACAATAATCTTAAACATTTAATTTGAATGTGTAAGATTTATAACAACATGTAGTTTCTGGTCTGCTCTAAAGAATGCAGACTGCAGGAACTCAGGAGGCTGAGGCGGGAGGATGCAAGTTCAAGGCCAGCCTGTCTCAAAAAAAAAAAATGTTTTTTAAAGAAAAGAACTGGGGTTGTAACTTAATGGGATGATGCCCCTGGACTCAATCCCCAGTATCAATCAAAGGGAATGCAAACTGTCTTATTTTTCATACCATTGTATATGCATCTCAAATGTCACTTTACAGGAATAGAAATCTGCGTGCATGTGTATGCAGTGTACTGCCAGTGCACCTTTTTTGTTACACATGCACTGGTAGGAGATGTGACCTTGCCAATTGAACCCCACGTGATTTGAGTGTTTCTGCTGCAGTTTAGTCCTGTGTCAGAGAAAGCTTGTCCTCTGCTCCTGTCTTCAAACTCTTTACTGTGTGGGGGACAGAGAAATAGGCTACTATTCCATAGTGATGTCATTAAACAAAAGACTAGAAGAAGTATCAACTTATCTTAGCCTTGTCAAAATGTATTTATTATTGGCATGTTTTCTTTTGTGATTTTATTTCCCACATTTTGTTTCAAAATCATTTCTTGAGCTGTGTGTGGTGGCACATGCCTGTGATCCCAGCAACTCAGGAGGTGGAGGCAGGAGATTCATAAATTCAAGACCAGCCTTGGGCAATTTAGTCTTATAAGCAATAAAAAGTAAAAAGGGCTAGGGAGCTCAAGGTATAGTTCTCATGGGTTCAATCCCCAGTACTAGGGGAAAAAAACCATTTCTTGGTTCTGTTATTTACTCTCCCAAAAGGTGAATGCTCTTTTAGAGCACACACACATGTGAACTAAGGGTCTCAAAAGTAAATACAAGCTGGGCGTGGTGGTGCACACCTGTAATCCCAGCGACTTGGGAAGTTGAGGCAGGAGGATCACGAACTCAAAGCCAGACTCAGCAACTTAGTAAGGCTCTAAGCAACTCAGTGAGACCCCTGCCTCTAAATAAAATACAAAAAAGGGCTGGGGATGTGGCTCAGTGGTTAGGTGCCCCTGAGTTCAATCCCTAGTACCAAAAAAAGAAAAGAAAAGAAAAGTAAATACAAGAAAAGAACATACGCAAAGACAGACTAAATGTAGAAGTAATGTTACTCAAGAAACATCAGGCTTGTGTGCCACGTGTGGTATTAGAGTGGTGACCCCAAGCCACCGACTGCCAGCACATGTATTTGTGAATGGTAAACTAAGCCCTCTGGTCCTGCTCATTTGCTTACTGGATGAGTATCATTAAAGTGTTCTTGATTGTTTTTTTTTTTTTATTCCCTGCTCCCTCCCTGACAGCTGATGACGGTGCGGACTATCACGGGAAACATCTACTACGCAAGGTCAGGAACTAAAATTGTCGGGAAGGTTCACGAAAAGTTCACACTGATTGATGGCATTCGAGTGGTGACAGGCTCCTACAGGTACGTTTCCAACAGGTGCCTCGCTTATTAATCTACATTCTTCACGTGAAGATATGACATTGTTCCTCTCAGCGAGAGCCTTTGCAGCTACGCATTCCCACATGTGCACACCTACGTGTGCAAGTGGTTGATCAAAGTCTCCTCCTGTCGGAGGTAATGAGATGGGGTCACTTCCCCTGTGCCCCACAAAACAAAAATGCAAAAGTTAAACTAGCTTGGAGACCACGCAGTCTCCAGTCCTAGGGTGAAGTCTTGGCCCAGGCCTGGGGTTATCAGTGACACAGCCTCAAGTCCCAGTTCCTTGGGGATTTGGACCATGTTGTCACTGGAAGGTAAGGGCAGTTACAGGGGTTGGCATCAGTGTTGCAGGCAGACCTGAAGCTCTCCCCTTCCTTCCTTTTGCTTCAAGCCGTATCAGTTAGTGCTGTAGTCTAGAAAATACTGATCAAGTTCCCAATTCACCTTTGAAGTCTCACTTTGATGATGGTGTGTGTCTTCGGTGGGTAGCGGGTGTTCAATGGAGGGTGGAGATAACAAGTGGCTAAGATTCATCTCAGGAAGTTGTGCCATTTTTACTCATGTGGCTCCTTGGCTGCACGTTTTGCTCCCTCTACATAGATGGTCCAATGATGTGCAAGATGTGTGTCTGTACAGTTTAGAAAAGAAAAGCCTTCTTGAAAAAATGTGCATCATTGAGTGATAAATATGGATGGGCCCAGGGTCTGGCAGAGAGACAGTAAGATAAAGAAGCTCTTGACACTTTTCCTTTCATATAGCACCATTTTCGATCAGAACAGAATTAGAATTGTTTCTTGACTTCTTTTTGCAAAATCTTATGAATACAGAAGAAAACTAGTTTCCCCCCTGCAAAGAAGAATTTCTCCATGCTAACAAAACTTAGCTTCAAATGGTTTTTGGCTGTTCTAAAAATCTCAAAATATAAAAACTGCCCTCTTCCAATGAAATATAGTACCACCAATGATGATGACAGCTCCATTTGTTAGGTCATACTGTCATCCTGGTGTTGGGTAGACACTTGGTTTACATTATCTCATTGAGGGTTTTCAAAATAATCTTCCTTCTTAGGCTTTGAAGGAAGTTCTCTGCAGTGTGTGCATTAAGCAATGTTCTTGGTTGCAAGAGGCAAGGCTGATAGGATGTTTTATGATCTCATTAAAGCACCCGACTTCTGGTACAAGTCTCTATCAGTGGGGTGACTAAAATGTCAGAAGCTAACTCAAGCGGCTTTATGCAGAATGAAACTTCTCAGCTCACACAGCAGGAGGTATGGAAAGGGGCAGTGGCTCTCAGCTCCTCCTGACCTGGCTGGACACTTATCAGAACATTGTCTCCTGGTTGTGCTTTTCCCTGGTTGATCTCTATTCCCAAGCAGGCTCTCCCGTTGAAGGCAAAGATCCCAGCTTATTTCCATGGTCTTCCGTAGCTGACTTCCTCTCTCAGCACTCTGAAACTCACTGCACTGGTAGGGTCACGTGCCCACCCTGGATGAATCCAAGGGGACCGTACAATCGGCCAGCCTGGAACACCCACCCCCACTGAGAATGTAGTGGACACATGCTCAAAGCCTTTTGAGACAGGGCTGGACATGGGCTCTTTTTCCAGAGGAATAGGAAGGGGTGCTGGACAGGCAGGGGCACGTGGTCACCTAAACGTGTTTGGAGTACTAGAATTCCAGTTAAACTAACAAATTATTTCCCTTTGTGAAAGGGAAAGGTAGTACGGAACCGGCATGGGTGACTGATTCCTTAGGGCTGAGCCCAATCTAGAATCTGCCACCACCTCTCCACTATGTCGTCTCTAGCAGGTTTCTTTGCCTCTAAAATGAGGGTACTGGCCCAAATATTTCAGAATCCTTTCTAGTTTTTAAAACTTAGAGGCTAAGGATTGTGTAGGTTAACCGTTGGCTTTCTTAGTTTTTGGTGACACATGTATCTATTATATGGAAATGTGAAGGCTGGTGAATTCACAGTAAATGGTATGTGTGTTACCACCACAGCTGTGACTTACATGGCAGGATTCCTGGGCTTTATCAGGTTGATAGTAAGTGAACTGAAATTCCACATTCTTACCCGCTTCCGTTGTTGGTTTTCATCCCTTCAGCTTCACATGGACAGATGGCAAATTAAACAGCAGCAACTTGGTCATTCTGTCTGGCCAAGTGGTCGAATGCTTTGATCTGGAGTTCCGCATCCTGTACGCGCAATCAAAGCCCATCAGCCCCAAGCTCCTGTCCCACTTCCGGATCAGTGGCAAGTTTGACCACCTTGCTGACCGCAAACCACAGTCCAAAGAGCTCACGCTGGGCAACCTGCTGCGCCTGCGGCTGGCCAGGCTGTCAAGTTCACCCAGGAAGACAGACCTGGGCTTGGGGGCGCCCCTGGAGAGTGAGGCAGAGACCAAGCGACAGGACTCCAAGTCCTCCACTGTCAGCGAGGAGGGTCACTTCCATAGCCACAGGGACATTCTGGGGGACAGAAAGGCTGTTGATGTCGCCACCCAGACAGAGCCAGAAGAGGAGACGCCCTCGGTTAGCATGAGGGAGGTGGGGACACAAACCAGCAGCAGCACCCTGTGTGCCGGGACCCAAACCACTGTGGCCACCAGGGTTGCGACCTCCCAGACGGTGGTGTGGACCAAGTCGACCACCACACAGACTGACGCGGATGAGAGCGGGATCTTTTCTCGGGGAACTCAGTCTGAAGAAGGGTCCCCAGTATCAAAAATGTCTGTGTCGAGGTCTTCCAGTTTGAAGTCTTCCTCCTCCACGTCTTCCCAGGGCTCGGTGGCCAGCTCCATCGGCTCCCATGCTTCCCTCAGAGCCACCGACCCCCTCAGTACTGGACACACCAAGTACCTGGGCACCCCTCACCTGGAGCTGTGCCTGCGGGACTCCTTCAGAAACCTGAATAAAGAGCGGCAGTTGCACTTGGCTGGCGTGAGGTCCCGGCTCAACCACATGCTGGCCATGCTGTCGAGGAGAACGGTCCTCTCTGAGAACTACCTTAGCATCAGTCCTGGGAATTTCACCAGAGCATCAGTTAATTTGGTTGCTGTTAGAGATTTAGCGCTTTATCCCTCTTATCAGTGACTTCAGTATGACTCCAGCTGGGTGTGGCCAGAGCTTCCTGCTTTAAAATCATCACACGCCCCTGACTGTCTCTCTTTCACTTGACTTTAGCACCTTGACCACCTTTGAATTTCTGTTCTGTGCATTATTTTATGTGGTTTTTGTTTTATCTTTGTCATGTAGCAACTGGGTATTGATGGTATGATTTTAAACACTATGGGTACAGGTTTTTTTGCACTGTTTTAATATTGGTAACTCTTAAAGAGAATGCTGAGGTTCATTAGTAAGACATAAAATGTTCCACACTTTTCTTGACTTGTGTGCTATTCTTAAACGTCTGAGTCACTGCTGTTTTTATGATCAAAATCCTATTTAGAAAAACAAGACTGTTTCTTAATTGTTTATCTCTATAAAATATCTATTATCTTAGCATTAAATAAACAATTTGTTTGCTTGAATTTTTTAACTTTCTGGCATTTTTCTGACTCTCTAACTTTTGCATTTAAATACACCTAACAGGTATCTGAATGATTTTTTTTTTTAGTATTGGGGTGGGGAAAAAGTAAATGATCTAGATTATAAAATGGAAAACATGTATTTGCTTAATAGTTAGAAGACATAAAGCTATCATTGGGGATCATACCACCCTTACCATGATGGAGACCAATGTTGCTCTGAGTTTGGGGGAACTTGCAGCAGTCCAGCCTCTACATGTGCACTAGCTTTTCTGTTTTCAAAGAAAAAGCCTGAACTGTTTCAGTGAGGGCCTTGGTCCTCTGCTTTTCTGCCAAAGGAGGCCTTTGGGTGCATTTCTGGATTCATGTCCAACGTAAGCCCTAGTGGCCCCATGGGCCCAATTTCATCAGATGGGTGTATTGACAGTGTTTAGCAATCTTATATCCCAGGGAAGGGGCAAGAGAGGACACTGACAATTATACAGATTCTTGGTCCAGTAGCAGCCACTGTGACTGGTTTCTACATCCTGCTAATCAGGATTGGTGTGGCTCTGGAATCCAGTTTTTGTCCAGTCTTATGCACATGGACAGATCAAAGGGAGAGAGTTAAGCAGTGGCTTCCTCCTGGCTTGCTCGAGCAAACAGCTCTGTAATAGGGAGGGTGTTGTCTGCCAAGCAGAATGCTGCTGCACCTGGGTCAAGAGCACTCCTGCAGGTTTTCATGCATGATCCAGGACTCCCTTGCCATGGATGGGTCATATGCTGGTTTAGTGAATTATCTGTGGCTATGAACCAAATTTACGGAACTGGTTCATGTCTGTTGCAAACGACTCTGGGCTAAGCCCCGAATAAACATGGTTATCTGAAACCATTTTACAGATTTAGGTCACTTTGTATGTGCTATTGTTTGTGACAATTTGGTAGAGAGCTACGTAGGTTAGATAGCTGTTTTCAATTTTCTTTAGGTCCAGGTTAAGTAGTATGACACAGCTGGTAAATGGTGACATGAGAGTGTAAACACAGGTTTCCAGATTCTGCGTTCAGGACTTTTATGTTTTTCTACTTATAGGATCAGAGGTACTGGATCATGTACACTGAGCGATGGCAGTTAATGAGATTGTGAATGAAAGCAGAAACGGCCTCATGAACAGATAGATATAGGTGCAAAGCCCTTTTTTTTTTTTTTT